GAAACGTGTGAGAAGTTTGTGTGTACTAATGTGCATGTGTGCTTGTGTGCGAATGGGGGTGTGTCCATGCAGCTTACCAATGTCTGCATCACTGAAGACAAGGTCTCTCCTTCCCCATCCATCATTAACTGTGTATAAATCTTCAGGGAGGGGTGGGGCCTTGTGAGCCCTTTCTCCCTCCATGACAGGATGTAGATGGACCCAGGTAATTGTTTTTGTTTTATGAAAAAAGGTTCAGCTATGTAGTCCAGATCTGTGATCCTCCTGCCTCCACCTCTGTAGTGCTAGGATTACAGGTATGCACCACTGTGCCCAGCAAATTTGTGGTTTTAAACTGTAGCAATAGTGGGGTGTAGTGGCACATGCCTTTAGTCCCAGCACTTGGGATCTGTGAGATTGAGGACAGCCTGGTCTACATAGTGCCAGGCCAGCTCTCTCAAAAAGACCAAAAAATAAAAATAAATAAAAAATTAAAAAACACTGTAGCAATAGAGAACTAACAAATGCATTGTATAACTAACTATACAATCCCTCGTGCTGCCAGTCTTACTGGGTTCTTTTCAGCTTTCATTTTTCAGGACCCATCTATGACAGGTCATAATGCCAACCCCTTCTTTTTGTAGTTCTGGGGACCAAATCCAGAGCCTTATGCATGTAAGGCAAGTGCTCTCCCAATTGAGCTATACCTCCAACTCCATTTCTGCCTTCTTATAAAGCTCTCTTTGGGGCTGTGGAAATAGCTCAGTGCTGCCCAAGCATGAGAACCTGAGTTCAAATCTTCAGAACTGAGCAGTGTTGAATATTTACAATCCCAGTGCTCCTATGACGAGATGGGAGGTGGAGAATCCTTGAAACTCACAAGCTAGCTAGCCTGCACATGCAAACAGAGACCCTGTCTCAAACAAGGTGCAAATCGAGGACCAGCACTCAAAGTTGTCCTCTAACTTCTACATGGGCACACCCCACACTTACACAGAAGCATATATGCACACATGCCTCACACATACATTAATACAATACAATAAAATCGCTGGTGTGTCTTGGTTGTGGTGAGCATAGCTGCCTTTCAAAACCTCTCTTCTCAGGCTGGGCATGGTGGCACACATCTTTAGACCCAGCACTCAGGAGGCAGGGGCAGGGGGATCTCTGTGAGTTTGAGGCCAGCCTGGTCTACACAGTGAGTTCCAGGCCAGCTGGGGCTACAGGGAGATCCTGTCTCAAAGAGACAAAAAACAAACACTTCTCTTCTCCTTCCATAACATTATCCCCAAGCATTGCGTCCCTCTCACAGATCCTTGGTGTTCTAGGCTAAGCATCTGCCAGCTTGGCTCTTTCTTCATGGACATATCTCCAAGGCCTCCACCTTTGACCTATATATTCTCCATACTTTAATGTCCACAAGAATGTCCCACTTGAACCTCAAACTCCACATGCTCACAGGGGAGGATCTTAGCCAGGTTAATGTGACAGCAGTGATGAAGGGATGTGGGTGGATTGGAAGAATGTATAAATGGTGAGCTTCAAAGGAGATGGCAGTTGGCTGGCCATGGAGATGGAGGATCGGGAGGACTGAGGAGGACTTCTAGGCTTCTGGTTTGTGCAACTGGATGGATGGTGGTGACACAAACAGTGAGGTGTAGGCTGGAAAGATGGTTCAGCAGCTAAGACCACTTGCTGTTCTCCCAGAGGACCCAAGTTTGATGCCTAGCACCCTCATGGCAGCTAACAACCGCTGTAATTCCAGTTCTAGGGGATCCGACACCCTCTTTGACACCCTCTCTGGCCTCTGAGGGGCATTGCATGCATGTGATACACTTACATACATGCAGGCAAAACACTCATACACATACAATAAAAATAAATATTAAAAAAAAAAACAGACGCATGGGGAGAAGAGAGCATTTGGGGCCAGAGGATGTAATGCATTCTGATTTGTCATGGTGAGGCCAAGGCGTATGGAATGCTCAGGTGAAGACGCTTGGCAGGCCACAGGGCTTCTGGATTTGGAGCGTGATGGAAAGTGCTGAAGATACCCATTTGGAAGCCATCATTATATTATGGGTGGCAGCACTGTAAGCCTGCAGCAGATGAGCATTGTGGGAAGTGGAAGTCTCGCCCAGAACCAGACCATTCACAGACCAGAGAAAGGCAGATGGTGTAGTCTGCGATTCAAGGAGGCATACTCAATAAGGAAAGAAGAGAAAGCTGTCATGGAATGAGATGAGAAGCGGGTTTTCAGTTAGAGGAAATGGTTGGCATCATCAGAAGCCGTGGAGAGGTCAAGGAGATAAACCCGAAGAGATCCTCTAGGTTTGCAAACATGAGGTCACGGGAACTCTGCGTGGGAGCTTTGAACCAATTGCTGAGGCGGAAATCTCATTGTGGTGATTTGGGCAGTAGGGAAAAGTGAGAGGAGATCACTCTGTCAAGAGTCATGGATGAGGAAAAAAAGAAAACAGTGACTAGAGGGAGAGGTGGGTCTTTGGTGGGTAGGCAGTTTCTGGATACGGACCTTCTATAATGGCTCTTGGGGTCATTGCATCATCCAGACCTGACCATATCCTGAAACCAAGGGGGAGTTGAAACAAGTTCTCCA